TTCTGGCTTAGAAGGAAGAGGGCAAGTTTCTGAGGGGAGGAGGATGGGCTTGTTTTCAGATAGGTTGCTTTAGAGGTGTACTTGGACTGCCCCGTCTCCGACCTATCCAAAGGTGTTCCTGCTATTTCACAGACTCTATGGCACTGGTCATAGCTCTATTCCCACCCAGGCCTCTGTAGGCCATTGCTCATTCCTGTGACAGGGCTTGTGGCCCCTCTGATGCTGCATCTGTGAAAATCCTATTTGCCCACCTGGATCCTGGATGCCGCATGCCACTCAATCTCTTCTCTCTCCCACTCCCACGGCCCCTGTTATCTCGGAACTCATGGATGATGGCTCTTCTGTACTCCTCCAGTAATGAATATTCTTTTTTTTTTTTTTTCAAACATGGTCTCACTTTGTCACACAGACTAGAGTGCAGTGGCATGAGCATGACTCACTGTAGTCTTGACTTCCTAGGCTCAAGCGATTCTCCCACCTCAGCCCCCCAAGTAACTGGGTCTACAGGCATGTGCCACCAGGCTGGGCTAATTTTTAAATTTTTTGTAGAGATGGGGTTTCACCATGTTGCCTAGGCTGGTTTTGAACTCTTGGGCTCAAGCAGTCCTCACTCCTCAGCCCTGCAAGTAGCTGGGACTACAGGTGCATGCCACCATGCTTGGCTAAGTTTTTAAAATGTATTTTAGAGATGGAGTTTTGCCATGTTTCCCAGGCTAGTCTTGAAGTCCTGGGCCTCAGGCGAGGCCTGCCTTGGCCTCCCAAAGTGTTGGGATTACAAGCATGAACTACTGCACCCGCTCTCTTTTTCAAGTATATTAATTTTTTTTTCCTGTAAGTAGCAAGTTCCTTAATGTTAGGGGCTTCAGCAACATCTAGCTTAGTGCGAAGAATACAACTGGTTACTCAGTGAATACACAGAATCATGGAACGTTAGATCTTGAGGCTGTGGTTTTCAAACTGGACTGTGTAAGAAACATCCCAGGAGTGTATGAAAATGCAGATATTTGGCCAATGGGTGGTTCTGATACAGGTGGTTTTCAGAAAACACTTAGAGAAACACTGGCTTAAAAGAAACTTAAAGATCAATTAAACTAATTCTGTCACGTTAGAGAGAGGAAACTATGAGTTGGAGTGTCAGCAACTTGTCGGTTTCTCAGGTTGTCTAGTGTCAGACCCAAGACTGCCCCCAGGTCTCCGACTCCTAGCGGAATGCTTTTCCTCATCACCCAACACACTGCTTCCACCTATTCAAAAGATGTCTTTCTAAAAGCTGAAATCCTCTTTAGAAGAATAAGGCAACTTCTCATTTCACTTACAATTTAAACGTTGCCAGAAGGAATGAGATGTGTCAGATGCCATCTTTGTCCTCTAGGAATTTCCAATCTTAGGTATTAGGAGAAGGAACCACTTCTTGACGCTGCTTAAAGCAGAAGAATCCTAGAGGGAGAATTGTAGGCTGTGGATTGATTGATGGGATTCCATTTCAGTAGCATCCCTCCTGTCGAGGAAAACATCTGCGTGAAGATGAACTAAGCCTAATTTTGTGCAACTCATGTTTTCATATTTCTTGTAAAGCATATCAATAATTACAAAATATAATGTCTTTTCAGTGCCTAAATATAAATGTCTATTTAAGTGTATGTTGGTAGTTCAGATAGTAAATAGACTTGTTAGTTTTCCTTGACATCATAGAATGTTCAGGAGAGAAATGGTGAATGTCATTTCAAGCCATTCTCTTTCCTATATTCATTTTTTTTAATTTAGTGCTGTCAGCAAACCCGAAATAGCACCAGATGAAAAATGTGGGCTGAATGTAAGGTCTTTATTTTTGAGCTGAAGAGATGACAGCATTCTCTCCTTTCAGTCTTTTCCCTTTCTTTCAGTTCTAAGTGCCATACTGAAAATCATATGCTGGATTTTCCCCCTTGTAGATCACTGTTTTCTTATTAGCAATAGTCATTTTCATGTTTGTTTGGTTTTTTTAAATTGATAGGGTTAAAGAAACTGGAGGAATGCTGATTAAATAATGTACCTGGATATCAGTAGGATTTTTGACAATGCCTGTTGTAAATTCCTTGAGGGCAGTGTGGAGAAAAGTTAGTTAAGATGCTATTATTAGGGTTTGTAGGTGCTTGGGAAGCCTAACTCAAAGTGTTTGTGATTGATTTCCTGTTGTCTGGTGGGAGATCTCATGTACTGAGAGGCAGGACTTTCCTTTGCACCCACTCTGTTCACTTTTTTCCGTCAGTGATGGGGTGGAAATTACAAGGGTATGGATGCTTGTTCAATACAAGGATCATGTTTGATTAATTAAATTGAAATCGTCTGTCCTGCAAAACTGCGTGTGCCCGTAACTGAAAGTGCTTAAGCTGTGCCTTTGTGACCATCTGTTGAAGACGCTCTGGAAGGGACTCCTGCTTGGGAGGGAGGTGGAACTAATATATTTGAATTCCTTTCTAACCCTATGATTGTATTACTGTACCATATTTTGGCTCTAAGATGATTAGTCAAATCTCTTTCTTGGAATCTGTTGTAAATTTCCGACTTACCAAGGTGGAAGCCTAAAGGTTTCGGAGACCCTGAATGCTATGTCAGTGTGCCAGGGATGCTTATGCTCCTGGGATAAAATGCCTTCAGACGTGAGACCTTCAAGTAAGTGAGTGAATATTTGGGAAGAACTACTATAGACAACTTTGTTTCAGGGATACTGATTTCTTCTTTGAAGGACTAACTAAAAGTCAATGACAGAGAAAGGAAGACCTGAAGTGGAGGATGAAAGTGCAGTGGAGCTAGTTTTCTTTTTGGTCAGGTGTCTTTAGCTGAGTGGCCCCTGAGGGATCTTGCTCAGAGCCTAGACCATCAGCCCTGGCGCAGGGCAGGGTGCAGTAGGCGGCGGATGTACTTCCCTGTTCCTCTTATGAACTTCCTTCACAAGGCTGGATGAGGGAATTTACTGATAGCTTGTTACAAACTGGCAAAATGAAACACAGGTGAACCTTTAGCTCATCATCCTACTTATTGTCTTTAATAAGATACCTTATTTCACTTGTAAGGAATTTTGAAATTCTTAGCATCAAAAATCTCATCTTTTAAAGTTGAATCCAAAGGACATGGGTTTCTTAAATGTCTGAACACATTTCTAAACTGTTGGAGAGGGAAAAAAAGTTACATGAATGAGAGTTGATTCTTGGCCCAACTGTGGGATCGCAGTTGGTGTGTGATGGTCAGACAGTTAGCGTAGTGCAGCTCCTACCCAGTCCCGAGGGAAGGTGCTGTGCTCTGGATCGGCTGCTGAGGAGAGGATTTCACATCTCTTGCGTTCCCTCAAAAGGGTATGTGGAGCTAAGACATGAGCGTAAGAGCAAGTGGGGAAGAATTCTGCAGTGGCAGCGAGGTAGCTGTTGGATACCTTTGTGGGATCAAAGAACATGAGAGTGCTTCTGACTACATTATTAATAAAATTATATGAAGTATTTTGGGCATAGAGATGTATTAAGAATAGTACAATAATATCTACATACCCCCCATCCAATTTAAGAAATAAAAATTAACAACCACAGGAAAACACCCTCATATACTTCTCCCTGATCTTATCCCCATCTCCTCTCAGAGGTAACCACGATCCTGAGTTTCACACCCTTTATTTTTTAAATGAGGAAAAGGAGGCCCAGAGAGGTGGGGAACTGGTTTAATTTCACACTTAAGGCTAGTGAGAGCCACAAGATGCCTTCTGCTTCTTTTCTTGGGGCATGGTTTATTGTTAGTAAACCTGTACTCCTCAGCCTTTGGGGTATAATCAAGTCTGGAGTGTCTGTGATAAGACAGCTTAGAGATTATGTTTGCAGTCCCTATAAGCTTGTAGCTTTGCACAGTAAGCATGGAGAATTGAAGAGAAGGAATTTCAGCCAACACCTATTTGGAATCTTGGGCTGGTACAGTAAAGTATAAAGGGATACTATGACATCTGGGGACAGTAAGATGTACAGGTTGTTAGAATAAAATTGCAGGGGACTGTCACAGTGGTGGCACTGAGCTATAAAATGAAAAAGCATCACAATCAAACCCCTTTCACAGCCTTCCTTTTGCTACATGCCAAATTAGACATCTTCTAAGCCTTCATAAAAACAGTCCTGCTAAAATAAAAAATACCATTTTAAAATATTTTCCTAGGAAAACATTATCAGGCTATTTCTTTAGCTTCCTAGGAGAAATGAACATGTGATTAATATATATTTTCTGGTGAATAAGTACCAGGATTGAAGAAACATGTTTGGAGCTATTAAATTTTAATAAAAATAAGAAAGCGAACAATATTACTTTTCTGTTGCTGATAGAATGATACATAATTTTGAAATTCTGGTGGAAGCATGGGTGCTTTTCCGCATTTTTATTTATAGAGTTTTAACAGCCTAAGGTTTACACCTTGTCACTTTTTTCTTGTCTTTTTTTTTTCCCCTTTCAAATAACACCTGGCAATTTTCACCTAGAACTCATCCACAGACATTTAAAAAGGTGGTATCTTTGGAGAAAACTTGTAGTTGATCACAAGATCATCCACTAGACTTAATTTTATCCAGAAGGCTGACCTGACATTAAATGTCTAAAAATCATCTAACAGAGCTGTTAAAAGTAAGCACTACGTAGGAAGAACATTTTTGAGTATTTGATACAGAAGACATAGGGAGCTGTGGATTTCTGCATTAATCCATTTATCGAACAACAGAAGGAAATCAGACTGCCCGTGATTGCCCACCCTTGTTTACCAGTTGAATACCCAGCTGCAGCTGGGTTGATTTGAGAGCTCACTGGGTCGGGTTTAATCATCTTCTTTTGTCTGTCTTGAAAGCAGATGTTGAAGTGTAATCTCTCCACCTGCTGTGTAAGGAGCAGTATCTGCCTCTTCACACTCAACTTCATAAAACTTTAATGTCTTTCCAGGATTGATAAGAGTTGGTGAAGGCTACTGTTTCAGACTTGGCATTTTTGCTTTTGTTTTTCAGACTGTTTATTCCATGGCTCCGTTCCCTTTCCCACAATTGGCAGAGTTGAGGGAAAAATACACCTACAACATTACACCGTTTCCAGCCACAGTGAAACCCACCTCAGTTTCTGGGTAAGATTTTTTAATTCCTCATTGTTTTCATGATGGAAGACTTAATATCTTAATTTGTTATTGTAAATTAATATTTATGAAGCCCCAGAGATATGTTAAAGTAATTTGACGCTTAGAATCTGAATGTCCCTTTCCAAATGGTTTTGATTTAAACTCAAGAGAGATTTTTAAAAGTGTACTTTCCAGAGAAATTTGGAACATAAACTGAAGAGATGTTTAGCAACCCCAAAACTTACCTAATGATACCAAGTATTAAAAATCTCAGTAGTTAAAATAGTGTGGAACCTGTATACAAGTACACAGATGAGCTGATTTAAAAACTGTGAAGATCGAAAATTGACAGTTGATAAGGAGTTTATCATATGAAAAATAAGCATATTGAATCAATGGTGAAAAGTTACACTATTTAGTAAATGATGATGGGCTAATGGGAACTAATTTGGAAAGAAAATGAGAGTCAGACCTCATACTAGATGCCAGGATAAATTCTGTATGGATGAATGTATTAAATAGAAACAATGAAATAATAAAATTAGCATAAGAAAATGTGGAAGAATTCCTTTAGTTCTTTGGAATTGGGAAGGCCTTAATAACTGACTCAAAATAAAAAAAAAAAAAAAAAAAAATAAGTACTTTAAATATAATTTTCTAGATGACCCAAATGGAACAAAACCAAACCTCTGTAAGTAGACTCAAAAATATCTGTGGAAGGATATTTTTAACTTACTATACAAAATAGGGACGGACATTGCTAATATATAAAATTTCTAGAAATTGATAAGAAAATGGCCACCCAAGCTGGGTGTGGTGTCTTAGCACTTTGGGAAGCTGAAGCAGTAGGATCACTTAAGGCCAGGAATTCGAGACCAGCCTGGGCAACATAGCAAGACTCTGTCTCTACAAAAATTAAAAAAAAAATAGCTGGGTGTAGTAGTGTATACCTCTAGTCCTAGCTACTTGGGAGGCTGAGGCAGGAGGATTGCTTGCGCCCGGGAGTTTGTAATAACATATTATTGGAAACCACTCAAGTGTATACCATTAGCAGCCTAGTTCCACACTATGGGGTGTGTACATCCAGTAGAACTGTAAGAATGCATAAGGAAGCTCTGTGTATGAATATGGAAAGGTTTCTTTTCTTTCTTTGTTTTTTCTAAACCTCGCTTTGTCACCCAGGCTAGAGTGCAGTGGTACAATCATGGCATACTGTGCGGCCTTAACTTTCAGGCTCAAGTGATTTTCCCATATCAGTCTCCTAAATAACTGGGACCACAGGCACGTACCTCTATGCCTGGATAATTTTTAAATTTCTTGCAGAGACAGCGTCTCGCTGTGTTACCCAGTCTGGTCTTGAACTCTTGGGCTCAAGCAGTCCTCCTGCCTTAGCCTCCCAAAGTGCTGAGATTACAGGTGTGAGCCACTGTGCCCAGCCCGTAAAGATTTCTTATATGAATAAAGGCAAGATGCAGAAGAGTATATATAGTATGCTAATAGTTATCCAAAAAGAAGAGAAAAATAAAAGCATGTAGTCATATTTGCTTATGTGTGCTCAGAGAAACTGAAGAATATGTAAGAACAAGTAACGATGATCACCTGTGGGAGTTAGATGGGAGAGTCTCACAAGTGACCATGGTTACTAGTTTCAATGGGCAGAAGTTGGACAGAGATGGGAGGGAAACTTTTTATAAGTCATGTAATTATATATAATTCTTTTTTTTTTTTTTTTGAGACAGAGTCTTGCTCTGTCGTTGCCCAGGCTGGAATGCAGTGGTGTGATCTTGGCTCACTGCAACCTCCGCCTCCCGGGTTCAAGCGATTCTCTAGCCTCAGCCTCTCAAGTAGCTGGAATTATAGGTGCACGGCACCACACCAGGCTAATTTCTATATATTTTTAGTAGAGATGGGGTTTTACTATGTTAATTATATGTAATTCTATGTTAATTATATATATGGCATTTAAACCATGTAACTGTATTATGTTTTGAAATACCTCTGGTTTTCTTTGTATATTTCTTTTTTGTCTTTTATGTTTTTCAAGACGACATAGTAAGGCCAGAGACAGTGATGAAGAGAATGACCCAGACGATGAGGATGCTGTCGTTAATGCAGTGGGGTGTCTTGGACCTTTTAGTGGGTTCCTGGCTCCTGAACTGCAGAAGTACCAAAAACAAATTAAAGGTAAAGAGGTGGCTCTTGATTTAGATTATCAAGATATATTGGTTTACTACAATAAGAGTAACATTGTGTCCTATAGATGCCTCAGTGATTTTCTGAACTGGTTACAACTATTAAAAGTCTTTATTAGGCTAGGCATGGTGGGTCATTCCTGTAAGCCCAGCACTTTAGGAGGCTGAGACAGGATGATCATTTGAAGCCAGGTGTTCAAGACTAGCCTAAGCAACATAGGGAGACCCTGTCTCTACCAAAACACAACAACAACAACAACATGAAAAAGTCGTTACTAGACTGGGTGTGGTGGCTCACGCTTGTAATCCCAGCACTTTGGGAGGCTGAGGCAGGTGGATCATGAGGTCAGGAGTTCGAGAGCAGCCTGGCCAATATGGTGAAACCCGGTCTCTACTAAAAATGCAAAAATTAGCTGAGTGTGGTGGTGTGTGCCTGTAGTCCCAGCTACTCAGGAGGCTGAGGCAGGAGAACTGCTTGAACCCGGGAGGTGAAGGTTACAGTGAGCTGAGATCATGCCACTGCACTCCAGCCTGGGCAACGGAGCGAGACTCCATCTTAAAAAAAAATTGTTACTAAAAGTATCTTCTCTGTTACTTTATCTTTTTATTATGTAATAGTTTCTCTCTGTATTATGTGTTACATGCATAATACACATTTCTTTTTCTCTATGGTGACTTTTGCTCCCGTTCATTGGATTCAACTTTGTATGCCCAGTTCCTTAGCACAGAGCCTGGCATATAGTAGATGCTTAATATACTCCATCTGAGTTTAATTTATTCCATACTGGCTTCTCTTACAATAGGATTACCCTTTAAATCAGAACATTATGGTGACCTCTACTTGAAATTTCTTGAGTGACAAGAAACTCATTATTTTACAAGACACTTTGCTAGATTCTTCCTCTTAGTCCATGGTTTCTAGTTACAAAGAGATAACTTCCACCTACCCGTTCTACTTATAGTTCTTCTCTTTGCTTTTTTTTCTATTTGAAGCCATCACTGTTTATTAACTGACCAGATTACAAAAATAATCATGGTAGACCTCTTAGTTCATCCGTCTAATAAGCCTGTAGCTCTTCTCTTCCCTATTGCCAGCATTTCTACCTTCCACAAAATAGGAGGTCTTTTTCTTCATTGCACCTTGTGGAGAGGATAATTTAAGGGTCACAGGAAGTTACTGGCTTTTTTGAAGCCTTTCCAACAGTGTAGATCTCATGAATCAGATCCTCCATGCAGACGATGTCATATTTACCAAGAGATTGAGCAAAGTGTTATCTGTCATGGCAATTTGCTTCTTATCAATTTTGCTATAAAACTTTAGGTTTGGGTACGCCCATGCAATATATGGTTCTCCAATCCTCACCATGTTAATTGAAGCCTTGCTGAGCTTAACAAAGGTTCCATTGAAGATCTGATGAAGACAAAGAAACTCCAACACCTTTCAGACCTTTGGGCTCACACCATTGATACCTCTGATCCTTAGAGAAAGTGACAGTTTGGGTTCTGTAAGAACATAGAAGTTGCCAGCTTTTCTTGCCCTCCTAGCCATTTGAACCTCAGTTCTGTCCATCTGCCTGTATTCCTTGTGGCTATGTTTAACTTTTTCATAGATAAGCTTCCTCCTTGCCTTTTGAAGCATCTTTTCAGCAAACTTCTTTCTCAGGTGCTTGATCTTCAGCTCTGGCAAAATTCCTTTGCTTTTTCTTAAGGGTTTCTGGCACAGCAGGCACCTTCTTTTTCTTCTCTTCGACACCATCCGTAGTTCCAGCTGGAAAAGAGGATTCTTCCCTTTGGAAAAAAACAGAACAAGAGTGCTTACTCCCTTTTCTACCTGACATCTCTTCAAATCTTTGAGGACAGCTATCATGTCCTCCAAAGCTTTCTCAAAGGCCCAAGTTCAGTATTTCTTTGAGCATGTCTCTTAAGTTATGACTTCTGGACCTCCTAATATTCTATTAATTTACCTCTAGATATCCTGTAATTTGGTAATGTTCCTCTTAAAATGTGGTGCTCTGAATCACATGCCATGTTTTATTTCATTTTTTTTTTCTATGCAGAATAGACTTCTGTGGTCTGGACATTATCAATGGTATGCACTGTTTTAAAGTTTGTGGTTCTCTATGTCCTTTCCTGTCTTAGGTGGCAGCTTTTCTTTTAGGATATTTATTCTACCTCTTCTAGTTTGAAGACCATTCTCCTTGTTCAAAGAAGTTAGAAATATGCTGAAAGAGGACAGAAACAGAATAGATGTCAGGCACCTCTGTGTTATCTTTGTCATCTGCCAACTTTATACCACCTTCTTGAAGTCATGGGGCTATCTTCTCATTTTTTCGGTTCTTGTTTGGAAGGTAGGAGCAGTGGCAGCAACTGCTGCTATTTCTAACTTTTGGTTGTGATCTTTTGGAGTATTTCCTGCAAGCCTCAGCTTGTTTTGAGTTTTAACCTTTTTAATGGCTGGGCTCATGCTGTTTTGTGAGTATGTCCTTGGTATGTGCTCTCCTCTCATCCTTTTAGATGGCTTTTAAAAATCTGAACCCAACAAGAGTCTTCTTGATTTCTGCAATGCCTTCCACCCCCTTTCTTATTGCTTGAGTTTCAGCTTTTGATTTCTAGCCATAGGATCAATATGTATTTTAATGGTAAAGTTTTTGAATCTGGGTTTCTGTAGCCTGGGTCTATGTTTCATTTTTTTCTGTTTTTCTTTCTGTGCATTTTTGTGCTCTAGGATGACATGATTACTTTCTCCTAAATTTCATCATTAGTCTTTCTTGTTGATTTTGCTCTGATTAGCAGTTTCTCTTTTAATTTCCTTCTCCTTACAGAAATGATTACAGTAAAAAAATGAAGTAAATTTCTGAGATGTTTAGCCTTTGTCTGAATAACACTGTCAGCAGATGTTAGGATAGTTGGAATCTCTCCGTCTTTTTTTACTCTGGCTCCCATGTCAGTTTTACAAATTGTGCTGGAGAAACTTGCTCTCTCCCACTTTGGCCTGTGCAGTCTGTGGGTTACTCCTACCCAGTATTGTTTCTCTTTCTTGGAGGTCATCTCAATTTTATTTAAGAGACAAATCTGCTAGTTGTAGCTATCACAGGAGCAGACACCACATCAGACATAACAACAGAGTGGACAGGAAATGTTTGTTAAATGAACAAAGCATTCATTTTAGTGATACAGTGGTCTGAAGTCTTGATAATGTTATAAATTGTGTTACTATTTTTAATGTAAGAAGAATGCACTTTTAATGACTGTCTAAACTCTACAAACCATCAATCCTGTATAAATCCTCATGCAGTTGTGTGGAAATCTGTACAATGATTTTAGAAATTAGGAGTTATATCTTTCTAAGGGAATCTTAGAAAATGGCAGTGATTTTTATCTGGAAGCAGTTGATGTTATGTCTATATAGCTAACAAACTGGTAACAGAATCAAACACTGAACCCACATAGCTCATGTCAGACCCACAGTTAGGTTAATAAGAAAATACAGAAATATTTTCAGGAGCACATCAAAATAAGCACTAGACAAACTCTAGTATGCATTTTTTTTTCCTGTGGTTTAGAATTTAATGGAGGTTAAGATACTGCACTGAGTTGTAGTGTAATCAATTTCCATTTACTCCTGTTCCCCTCTGCCGACCATCTCCTTCGAGTGCAGAGCCAAATGAGGAGCAGAGTCTGAGATCTAATAACATTGCAGAGCTGAGTCCAGGAGCAATCAATTCCTGTCGAAGTGAATACCATGCAGCTTTTAACAGTATGATGATGGAACGCATGACCACAGATATCAATGCACTGAAGCGGCAGTACTCTCGAATTAAAAAGAAGCAACAGCAGCAGGTGCATCAGGTGTACATCAGGGCAGGTAATGCGATTCTTCATCTGAATCAGTTTCAACTCTATCTCAACTTGTGAAATGAAGAACAAATAATCCTAGTAAGGCCTTGGAATTACTAACTGTAGCTCAGTATGTGTCAACACAGCTGGCTTGAGATAATAGCATATTTAGCAACTCATTTTAAATTTTATTTTATCAGGCTCTAAAGAAGAAAAAGACTGCAGGTTCTTTTTAGGCCCCAAGGACCAGGCAGTTGATGGTATTAAACACGTCTCTACTATGTGTGCTGTGGAGAAGGGTTTACAAATGATTAAAGTGTTGCAAAGCCATGCAGTCCTTGGACTTGAGAAATTTTGGAGCTTTTGCCCCATAAATTTTATGCATCTGAGTATAGAATTTAGCTATCTGCACACTAGTAAATTAAGCTATATACTAGTCATTTAGGTGATATTATAACAGATGTTGTGATCAGAGAAAATGGAAAAAAAACCATTAAAAAGCCTGTGCTTTGCTGATGGCAAGTATCTTGGGAGTATACTAAAAAGAATACAATTATAATGCAATTGGAAATGCTCTTTTCCAAGGATTGCCAAGCTTTTGTCCTTTCATTTCCAAAAATCCCAGTGAACAATCTGCTTTATTGTTTAATATATGCTGATTTGGGAGTTGTTTATTCTTGCTTGAAGTGAATATCCTAATGAAAATGATGCTTGTCCAGAATTAACCAAAATATAAATTTGATGTGTTTTTAAAGTGGCATGTGAGCATGTGACTGATCTTGCACAAAAACTGAATTTACCTTCCATTTATCAGAGAAGAATAGTTGACTTCTTGACGATTCTCACTTTATCCTGAATCATTAAGAAACCAGTCACAAAATAAATGAACAATTTCACTTTAAGTTTCAAAAACATTGGCACATACATTTCCTCATTTTGTCCTTAAAACAAATCAATGAGGAAGGCAAGGACAGATAGTCTCCTCTTCTTCCAAATGGTGTGGAAATGGTGATTCAGGAAGGCTTAGCAATTGTCCAGGGTTATATAGCTGTAGTGAGTGGTCAGGCCAGGGAAGGCTTAGCAATTGTCCAGGGTTATATAGCTATAGTGAGTGGTCATGCCAGGGCTAGAACACAGGTGTTCTGATTCTTTGTACAGTCCCTTTTTAACTATACTGTACAAGTCTTTGGGTGTGATGGTAAACAATTGCTCAGGGTGCTAAATTGACCCAGTGGCTTGTATTCTCATCAGGGATCAGCAAACTGTGATCTGTAGGCCAAATCCTGCTCACTACCTGTTTTTGTAAGTACAGTTTTGTTTGTTTGTTTGTTTTGAGATGGAGTCTTACTCTGTCATTCAGGCTGGAGTGCAGTGGTACAATCTCAGCTCACTGTAACCTCCACTTCCCAGGTTCAAGCAATTCTTGTGCCTCAGCCTCCCAAGTAGCTGGGATTACAGGCATGCACCACCATGCCCAGCTAATTTTTGTATTTTTAGTAGAGACAGGGTTTCACCATGTTGGCCAGGCTGATCTTGAACTTCTGACCTCAGGTGATCTGCCCACTTTGGCCTCCCAAAGTGCTGGGATTACAGGAGTGGGCCACCGCACCCAGCCTGTAAATACAGTTTTATTGGAACACAGGCACGCCCTTTTTTTTACAGGTTGTCTAAGGCTCCTTTCACACTACAGTGGCTAAAATATTTACAGTCTGGTCCTTTACAGGAAAAGTTTGCTGACCCTTTCTCTAGATCATGGTTGATGTGGTTATCTTTAAGGGAGAGATTGCCGCTCAAAGGCAAAGCTCTAGAGCATTGGTTCTTGAAATTTAGTGTGCATAGAGATCATTTGGGGATCTGCTAAAATATAGACTCTGTTTCAGTGGGTTTGGAATAGAGCTGAAATTATATGTTTCTAACAAGCCCGTAGGCACTGCTGGTGCTGCTGCTTGGGGACTGTATTAGTCTGTTTTCACACTGCAAAGAGACATACTTGAAACTAGGCAATTTATAAGAGGCTTAATGGACTTAAAGTTTCACATGGCTGGGGCAGCCTCACAATCATGGTGGAAGGTAAGGAGGAACAAGTCACATCTTACGTGGATGGCAGCAGGCAAAGAGAACTTGTGCAGGGAAACTCCCATTTTTGAAATCATCAGATCTTGTGAGACTTAGTCACTATCACGAGAACAGCATGGGAAAACCCACCTTCATGATTCAGTTATCTCTTACTGGGTCCCTCCTACAACACGTGGGAATTATGGGAGCTACAGGATGAGATTTGGGTGCAGACACAGCCAAACCATATCAGGGACCATGGTTTGAGCAGCATGGTTTTAGATGAGATGGTATACGATAGGATTAGCAGCACAGGGGGAGAGACTGAACTTGAACTAGAGGCAAAAAGACCTTAGCTTCTGAGACTTAATGGAAGGTGGTGAGCATGGCGGTTGAGGTATCAGCTTCCGAGGTTAGGGAGGATGGGAAATAGAGGCCTTTCAGACTTGATAGCTTTTGTTTTCATGGAGAAATTGGGGGAGAGTTGTTTGGTGGGAATAAGGTGGGGGTTGGGAGTACATGAGAGGTTAAAGAAAGTAATGAAGATTTAGTTAGGTCACTGAAAGGAGTGAGACAGGGAAATGAAAAGATTGTTTGGCATTGAGGACCCAGTGAAATGAGAGGTCATGAATTTGAAGGGCTCAGTTTCAGAAAAGAGAATGTGGATTATGGATCCCAGGTTGGGGCTTTACTAGCAATGTGTGACAAAGAGACAGGGATGCCTATGAGGCAGTGATCTAAGCGGTCAGCCATGCATCTGGCAGTGTAGGGGTGTCAGTGGGCCGAAGACACATGAGGGGTTATGAGGAGCCTGAGGAACAAGGAGCCAGAAGTCTGTGTGGTTCATTACCACATATAGTTAGACTGGGAGCCTGAGAGCTGGAAGAGCCAAAGTGAGGAGTATTAGAATTAAATATTTTCACATAAGGTGGAGCTGGGTGATAAGGTTTAGGATGGAACTGGGGAGGCTGAGGAACTATGAGAATGTAATGGAGGGCCAATCACAGTGACAGTCAAATAATTGGTGAGGTGGCAGGAATGTGGTGAAGAGGAAACAGTTATCAACATTTTCAGCTGATATTGGGGTATGACCAGTGGTAAATGACAACAGTAGAGAAGGGTGGAAGTTAGTTCAGCCAGATGACATGGACATCAAGGAGGAAGGAAACTCTCACACAGAGGGAGAGGCCTTCTCCCTACAACTTCTCTCTGCAGCTGCCATCCTGGGACCATGTGTGTTGAATGCTGCATTGGAAATAGGAGCCTGGTCATCGCCACAGGAGGTCAACGATAATGCCATTGACAGTGCCTTCTAGAAGAACAAAGCTTTGTTGTTTGTTTGTTTTGAGAAGGAGTCTTGCTGTATTACCCAGATGGAATGCAGTGGCGCAATGTTGGCTCACTGCAACCTTCACCTCCCAGGTTCAAGCAGTCTACCGCCTCAGCCTCCCAAGCAGCTGGGCCTACAGGTGCGCACCACCACACCTGGCTAATTTTTGTATTTTTAGTAGAGACAGGGTTTCATCATGTTGGCCAGACTGGTCTCGAACTCCTAGCCTAAAGTGATCCTCCTGCCTTGGCCTCCCAAAGTGCTGGGAATTACAGGCATGAACCACGGCACCTAGCTGAGGTCAAAGCTTTTGGTGCTTTTCGGTTTTCAATTGGCTTTCAAAGTCCATTGAGGACACAGGAGTGGTTTTTCATCTCTAGGGCTAGATGCTGGATAGCTGTGATTTCACTGCATTCTCATTACCTTTTTATCACTTCTGTCACTCTGCTGGATCTCACTTCATAATATGCAGTGTGTTCTTTTCCTACCTCTCAGAGGCTGACAGATGATAATCCATATGGTCGTAGTGTTTGTTGTGTTATTATTTTTTTAAATCTGCAAAGATTTTTCTAGTACAGTACCTCTGAAGTTGCTACTCAGAGACAAGAGCTCTCCGTAAAAAAAAAAAACATTAGGGGGTCTAGGCCCTAATTATGAATGAGGAGTCAGATGTTCCTTTTTGTATCATCACCCTGCGGTCCCTTCTTCTTCAAAGAAGAGAGCATTGGTATTCCAGGCTCTTGGGTTGAATTCGGTTTCTGCTGTCTTCAGTCACATGCCTCTGCCCCTCCCTGGAGAATACATGGGAAGGGATGTGGTGGGCCAGGCTGGGAGGACCTCCGTGTGATTTCTGTTCCATGATGGATGTGTTTCTCTGTGGTGCACTTCATACTACCTTTCAACATTTCTTTCAGACAAAGGGCCAGTGACCAGCATTCTCCCATCTCAGGTAAACAGTTCTCCAGTTATAAACCACCTTCTTTTAGGAAAGAAGATGAAAATGACTAACAGAGCTGCCAAGAATGCTGTCATCCACATTCCTGGTCACACAGGAGGGAAAATGTCTCCTGTCCCCTACGAAGACCTTAAGACAAAGCTCAACTCCCCATGGCGAACTCACATCCGAGTCCACAAAAAGAACATGCCAAGGACCAAGAGTCATCCAGGCTGTGGGGACACCATAGGGCTGATAGACGAGCAGAACGAGGCCAGCAAGACCAACGGGCTGGGGGCAGCAGAGGCGTTCCCCTCTAGTTGTACAGCGACAGTTGGAAGAGAAGGCAGCAGCCCCGAAGGCAGTACCGGGAGGACGATCGAGGGGCAGTCTCCAGAGCCGGTGTTCGGAGATGCTGATGTGGATGTGTCTGCGGTTCAGGTGAAGTTGGGGGCCCTGGAACTGAACCAGAGGGATGCTGCAGCTGAAACTGAGCCCGGGGTGCACCCACCCTGCCAGCGGCACTGCCCAGAGCCGCCGAGTGCGCCTGAAGAAAACAAAGCCACCAGCAAACCTCCCCAAGGCAGCAACTCAAAAACCCCCATCTTTAGCCCTTTCCCCAGCGTCAAGCCCCTGCGGAAATCTGCTACTGCCAGGAACTTGGGATTATATGGCCCTACAGAAAGAACGCCGACTGTGCACTTTCCTCAAATGAGCAGGAGCTTCAGCAAACCCGGTGTTGGAAACAGTGGCACTAAGAAACGATGATGTCTCCCCGAAACTTTGTATCTGGACTCACCTTTTCACAGCAGTGTAAGGGTTGCAGCTGAATGGCTCGAAAAGAGTTTTATTTGTCCAGTGAAAATGAGTAGGTTCAGGGATGAGCAACAGCCCATAAAAAATGGGAACTGGAAGTTTTATAATAGGAGTTAGAAACAGGGCTGTTTTCCCATCTACTTGCTAACTGATGAAGTGGATTCTTGTGGCAAAATAAATATTGTGGTTTTATAGTGTGAGTTTTTCCCAATTTTTCATTGTGAGCTATTTAAAAAAGACTATATATCTAGACTGTTAACTCTCATCCATCCTTCTGGGGGCCTTCAGAGTCCCTGTGACAGTGCCCCCAAACCTTCTAGTTCTCTGGGTATTACTAATATTCAAGCATGCACATACCAGCTTGCTAGGACAGAAACTGTAAAAAGAAAGTAAGTTTCTTCATTACAAAAAACTTCCTGATTTTCCTTTTCATGGTTTACGGAGGGGATTGTGTCCTGTGAGATTTCCTACAGTACGAGTCTCAATTTTTTTTTAAAATTCTTATGCTAAATCATAGGAGAAAAATCTAGATAGCCTTTCTTTAACTGTCTATTTCTACCTGCAAAATGAAGAAAACCTTTCATCTCTTGAAATTTCGGTCGATAACCCAGCTGAAGATCTTATGCACAGGACACACTTGGCATATGCTTTAAGCAGTTGCTCCGGACAGCTTGCTCGCGCCACTGAGCTTTTCCTGAGGTTTGTGTTCTCCTCTCGAGGAGAGCTTTCATCCTCAGTGGTACGGATGACTTGATGGGCTCCACACAGAGCCTGGCCTGCATCCCCTACCACACAGCTCACTCACCCACCAGCTCTCGACTGCAGACGCACAAGGCCTCTGTTCAGAAGCCAGAACATAGCACCTGTGACTCTGTTACTTGAATTTTGTGCTTTTTGATTGGAGTCCTTTGTTGAGTACTTTGTTACTTGAACATTGCCTTTCTCTGGAGAAGGCCCCAGTGCTTTCTAGCTCCCTCTCACTCCTGCCCTTTCTAGCTCTCTCTCACCCAGCGGGTCAGGGATAGCACCTCTTGTCTCCACTATGCAGATGGGAACTCTGAGCCACACAGAGGTGAAGTAGCACTTCAGTTACTCAAGGTCAGTACTCCCGGTATTCCAAGTGACTTAGCCACATTTCCTTCAGTGCAATAGGCAGGTTTAATGCTCTTTGTACACAGAGGCATTGGCTACATACCTTGTAAAAACCAAGACTGGGAAGCCATTCACTAAAATCCCTCCTGACTCAAAGGACCTGTCTCCAGATGGTACAGAGTCCCTTGATGGCGTTTTACAAAACCAGCTCTGACTTCCTTATCCTGAACAGGGAGTTTATTTTAAGAATGCTTCATGCACCTGTTACTTGGCTGAGCAACAGGCTCACTCCTCAATCCCTTCTGCCCGCCGTCATTAGAGGAATAGACTCAGCCTTCATGTCTGTCTCTGGAAGACTACTGGCAATACTTTCAGGAATATTGTTGGTGCAGCCAATATTGATTTGAGCAAATGGATTGTTAATTCTGAAATGAAAACTGTAATTGTAGAGCAGACTTTTTACTATGAGAGGTACTAATTTTTATAATAGAGAATGTGGTTGTGTGGGCTTTTTTTGAACAGAAAACACACAATGACCTATACCGTGAGAAAAGCTATTTTATCCTCTTCGTGGTATTTTTAGCCCCAAAGGAACTGAAGATGGAAAATATGACTAATAAGTTATTACAGTTTTGGTCTTGAATTCTGTGCCATCTGAAGTTAGCATCCAGCTTCTTAAAAAGCAGCCACGCCCACAGCCTGTTTTTTGGGAAGGGTGTAGGTGGAGAGATGGGCTTATTTTGCATACCACCCTCAGGGCCCAGAGACCCACTGCATTTTCCAAAGTTAAGCAAATGACACCATTTTCTTCCATCAGCTAAACTTGACAGATAAGAATGATTCCACCTCATATCCGTTTCTTTGCCCCTTCCCAAATGAGTCAGAATAGTCATGTTCCCCTTGAGGGATGTCTGACTTGAATGGAGAATTGTTCTTTCCTCTCTTGAATCAGCTCACTAGCTCCTTGATGGTCTGGGTTCAAGGAGTTGGTTAATGAGGTAGAGGCCACTTATTCAAGTCCTTGGGATTGCACCATTGCTGTCCACAAACAGTATCAACAACACATGCTGTGCCCTGTGAACACTCTCCTCTCACCTGTTTCCAGGGTTGGTCTTCCTGAGAAGGGGATGGAGGAGATAACACACAGTTTGGGATAAGTATCTGTTGAATGAATGAATAACTGAATGGATAATAATAGTCCTCTGAGACAAAAATGGCCTTGTCAGAATTTTGAAAATCCAGCAGATTCCTGTTAAAGCACTCTGTGTACCAATAACATGCATGCATTGTACCAAGTAATCACAATGTGAATTGGTCAATTAATGAGCCTTGCCTGCTTTAGAAAATAAAGAAACCTGCAGTAGCCTCTACCACACAGCATGTACAAAGACCAGTATGGACTTGCTCTCTTCTCTGTGTATTGGACACTGTATGCAAACACCAGAAGTACTTAACAAGTAGTGGTTTCTTGATTTTTAGATATGTCTGTAGCCTCTTAGCACTTTTGCCGGGAATCAACTCATTTTGATGCCTCTGCACCTCAGTTCCTCTTACAAAAGCCTCCAGATGATCTAAATCTAGTTAGCAATGTCAGCCTATGGACTGCAACGGTTTGGGACATTGTATTCCTTTGTTTGTCTCTTGTTCTGAAGGATTGTATTGATCACAAAGTTATATGCATAAAGATTCTCATTGTTGTAACTGTTGTGCCATTGTCTGAGTGCATGCATGGAACACTGTTGTGACCGTCCCTTCTCCCTTCTTCCTTCACCCCCAACCCCAGACCCCACTTGGTCACATGAACCAGGGAAACAGCCCGATAAGCTCCATCTTCCCCAGTCTAATCACTGGGTTGCAGGGTGGCCTGTGACCTGCTCAGCATTTGCAGAATAGCTGGTTCCTGAATATGAGTAAGCACAGAGTTTAAAACTAAGAGAGTTGACCTAAAATTAACCTTTAGATCTACCATTTATTTTTGTCTTAATAAAATGAACAATAAGAATACAGTTTAGCTGCATGGCATTAAGGATTCTGTATGAATAGATGTATAGTTGCTACCATCTCCCCATATAAAATCTCTTTTTACAGTGTTTCTGAGCCACTTTCTTTGCTGCCTACAGCATTTGAGGCAGCATTTAAAATATATTGTTTTTCCTAACTAGAAAAGTAGCAGGTTTTAGAAAATTGGGAAAACAGAGCATAAGGAATCATCAATATTCTGTACAGATCTTTCCAGTACGTTTGTGTATGTGTGTACACGCCATTATCTACAAAAAAAGGTATTTTGAACGTGGTAGTTTAAGCTGTCTTTCTGGTAAATGCTCTTATACAATATGATTTTTAGTGACTAATATTCCTGCATGTGTTCATGCTGGAATTCACATAACCAGTACCTTGTCGAATAGGAGGTTTCTGACTAGATAGTAGTAGAGACAGTAACCTGTTACATGTATGTACATAGCCCAAATTATTTTCTTAGGATATGCGTATAGAAGTGGAGTTGAAGGGTCAGGAAATATGTCCATTTTTAAGACACATATAGCTCCAAATTGCCATTCTTAAAGGCTGAAGTTATACAAGCAGTGAATCAGAATGCCTGCTTCTCTACATCCTGGAAGAGGCAGCAATCTCTTTCCTTTTTTTTCTTTTCTATGACTTCTAGTGTTGAAGTGCCAACAGAAGTGTTTTAGAAGCAGTGATAATGGACACTCATAACACCCATATCTCATTCCTGACTTTTAAAAGAAGCATTAAGTAAGATGTTGGCTGAGGTTTCTGGTAGGTGCCTATTATTAGGTTAAGAAAATTCCCTTTTATTCTTTGCTTGGTAAGAGTTTTTTTTTTCATCAACAGGTATTGACTTTCATAAAAAGAACTTTAATTGTATCTTTTGAGAAGGGAATAGTGTTTGAGACTTGGTATCCTGAACGCAAAGAAATAGCCATTACTACGTTTTGTCAAAGAATACCAGATATTTTAGAGTTAGAAGTTATGCAGTAAAAGCTTTATGTGCAACATGTTCATTGAAGTATTAAATGTACTAATGGAAACCTGAAAACAATGTAAACATCTGGGAATAAGGGAGATGTTTGGGTGAATTATGATTCATCCCCAGGATGGAAATGTGAAGGCCAGTGAGTATTTGGGCCACTGAAGTGGGAGTTATCTGTTATCCACATCAGGCAGCTCAGAGTAAAGTCAGCAAGTCTACAGTCATAGAGCCACCAGGATACAGTGATGGATGGGAGGCCTCCTGGCTGAAGGTAGAACTGTGGGAGTGGTTCTTCCACAAAGGCAGCCAGTGCTCACCTGAATGGGGACTGGTACTGTAGGTGTTGGGTCAGCTTCCGTGCAGTTCCCTGCTGGCCATCTCCCAATGCTGAATGTCTGACTCAATTCAGGCTGCTGTAACAAAGTACCATAGACTGAGGTGGCTTAAACAACGGCATTTCTTTCTCACAGTTCTGGAGGTGCGAAGTCAAAAATCAAGGTGTCTGCAAATTTGGTGTCTGGTGAGGAAGGGCCCTCTTCCTGGTTTGCAGATGATTATCTTCTTGCTGTGTCCTCACACGATGGAGAAAGGGAGTACGTTCTGGTCTCTTCCTCTTCTGATAAGGGCACTAACCTCATCATGAGGGTCCCATCCTCATGATGTCATCTAAACCTAATTACCTCCCAATGGCGCCACCTTCAAATACCATCACCTCGAAGGTTGCTTCCTTCCTGGTGGTTTGCTCTGGTCAGACCAAATGACCTCCTGCAAAGTGCCACTCGATCCCATTCTCTCCATCCCTTCCATCCCAGGCAATCTTTATTTGGCTATGCCAACCTGTGCCCCAGGGGCTTCAAGAGTTATTGTTTTAACATTAAAAAAAACAGAACGTTGACTGTTTCTTAGTGTTTACATTCTTGCTATAACAATTCTAGTTTGCCTTTAGGCAATGCTGATCACTGGGAAGGAGGTGGATCGATTCTCCTATGGTACCAACAGTTTTTCTGGGAGGAAACTTCCTGATACCTCAACCTGGGAATCTCCCCATCCCTGGAGGGTCCAGGAATCTGTATGAAAACATGAAACAAAGCAAAAAATTAAAAAAAAACCTCCCTTAGTAATTGTTTTCTTTTTGAGACAGGGTGGAGTGTACATAGCCCGAATTATTTTCTTAGGATATGCGTATAGAAGTGGAGTTGAAGGGTCAGGAAATATGTCCATTTTTAAGACACATATATCTCCAGGCTGGAGTGCAGTGGCACAATCTTGGCTCACTGCAACCTCCAACTTCCGTGTTCAAGCAATTCTCCTGCCTCAGTCTCCCAAGTAGCTGGGACTGCAAGTGTGTGCTACCATGCCTGGCTAATTTTTCTGTTTTTAGTAGAGATGGGGTTTCATCATGTCCACCAGGCTGGTCTTGAACTCCTGGCCTCAAGTAATCTGCCCGCCTTGGCCTCCCAAAGTGCTAGGATTACAGACGTGAGCCACTGTGCCTGGCCTTCCTTAGTAAGTTTAACGTTGAACTAAGTTTAGCAACCACTGAACAAGTTGACTAGCCATATGTCACCTGATGACAGGGGTAACGATGGGGAAATTGTTAGGTAATTTCAATGATGTGGAAATATCATGGAATGTGCTCACACAAACCTAGATGGTATAGCTTACTACACACCTGGGCTATATATGATGTGGCCTATTGCTTCTAGGCTACAAACCTGTATAGCAAGTTACTGTGCTGAACACTGCAGTCAGTTGTAACACAATGGTAATTGTCTATCTAAACATATTAGAAAAGGCACAGTAAAAATACAGTATTCCAATCACCCAGGACCACCATAGCATATGAGGTCCATCGTTGACTGAAACATGATGTGGCACATGACTGTATTAAAATGGTCTCCTAACTGGTCTCACTGCCATCCATTTTGGACCCTCCCCCTGCCCACCCCACCTCTCTGCTACTCGGCTATACACTGCTGCCAGAATGATCTTTCTAAAATGAAAAACTAATTGGGCCATCCCTCTGGTCAAAATCCTTCTTCATTTTGTGGAGGGTAAAAGCTAAAATCCTTATCTTAGCGTGATTTGACCCATGGTTAATTTTCCGTCTTATTTTCCCACACCTTCCCCATTCATTACCTCGTGCGACCTATCCTCACCAGTACCATAACATCGACCATCTGTGGAGCTCCTTGAGCTCAGCACTATACCAGCTCCTTTGTGCTATCTCACTCATTCCTCTCAAGAGCTCTGTGAAGCTTACTGGCACTATATTACAGATGATGAAGGCAAAGTGAGCAGTTACATCCTTGGCCACTTGGAAGGAGGTGGATGAATTCCCCTATATGACCAACAGTTTTCTGGGAGGAAATTTCCTGATACCTCAACCTAGGAATCTCCCTATCCCTGGAGAGTTCAGGAATCTATATTAAAATGTGAAACAAAGCAAAAAACAAACCTCTGTTAGTAATTATTTTTTGTTTTTGTTTTTGAGACAGAGTCTTGCTCTGTCGCCCAGACTGGAGTGCAGTAGCACAGTCTCAGCTCACTGCAACCTGCTCACTGCAACCTATTGAACTGGTAAATGACTTCTGGATCCATCTGACACCAGAGCCTGAGCTCTTCCTTTGCTACACTGTCTTATAACTTTGCCCATAACTCCAAGTTCCCTGAAGGCCCCCCACTCCCCTAATGCCCTCATACTGCTGTGTATTCATAAATCCTCGCTTTGAGCACCTTCCTTGCTCCAGTCTGCCTGGCAGATACCTACCTATCCTTTTTGTCTCATCGCACACATTAATGGGGTAAAATCCAATCTATACCATTATATGATTTGGGGCAAGAGTCTTAACATCTGAGACCTTCAATTTCCACATCTGTACAATGAGAATAATTTCAATCTCATAGGGTTCATTGTGGACAACTGCCATCTTCACTGCCTAGAATTTACTATGCTTTGGCAACACTGCCCTACTTTTGCTTAGGGAGCCAGCCCTCCTCCACCTCTGCCCAAGTACTTCCGGTGACAGTGATGGCCCTGGAGGGAGCATAGGGCCTGAGCTCAGACACTCAGGACTCTTCCTCCTCCTCGCCATGGTGTCTGACCCATGGATGAGCCACAGGCAAAGAAACTCAATTCCTGGGCTCTTGTTTTGAACTCTCAGGGAAGCAGACTCACTCGTTTCTACTGGATTTGGTCCTAAGTTGCTAAGGTTTGGGGAAAATCGGGTTACAATAGCTTATGTGATAAACTCCATAAATGGATATGCAACAGAATTTAACCTGGAAGGAAAAAGCCCAGGAGTTGTTGCTGGCAGCCATCTTGTAACCATGAGGGGAGAGTTTGTGGGAGAAGAGTTAACACTGAGCAAGCAGAGCTGAGGAACAGAGAAACTAGGCTGCTTTCAGGCCATGCCTGAAGCCAATTTGTCTCATTCTATTTACTATATCAGCTAACATTCCAATTTTGGGCTTTAACCAGTTTGGTCAGATTTTCTACCACTCATGTTGAAAATTAATTGGAACAGAGGTGTTGTGAAGATTACAGATGATAAGGGCAAAATGGTGGCTATATCAGTGCAGTAGTCAGGATTATTTTTGCTTTCCAGTGACTCAAACCTCTCCTAAACTGCTCTCTCAGTTTTGGCTCCGTCTTCCCATCATAATAACAGATGGTGTAGAGAGGTGACAGAGTCAAGGAACATGGTTCTTGTTTTCTGAAGATGGTTCTTTCCTCAAGCCCTTTGAGTTCTTCTTTGGTCTTATATTCTTGTCACAGAAGGAGAGATGATTTTGAGTAAAAACTGTCTCTCACCAGTTTTGTCTACCATTCCGACTCCATCTGCATTCCTGGAGAAGTCCTGTTGAGGACAGAGTGACTGTGAGCAAAACGTGAAGAGCTGTGTCACCAAGTTCCATAAAATTTGGGAGTCCAAGCAGCATATTTGTGGGATTTGTCTGACAGAACACAATGGAAACAGAGTGTGGCATTCACTCCACCTCCCCCAGGTGACCGGCAGCTTTCTCACAGAGGAGGGGCTCTAGCGCATCCCTAATGGCATCTGCGGGGAAGCAGCAGGGCTGGGTGAGAAAGTGGGTCTCAAGGGACCTGCAGTGTTCAGCAGAGCCGTGGGAGGACCTGCTGGGAGCACACTTGTTTAGGAACACATGAGAGGTGCCCCGTGAAGATTTCAAGAAAACCTTGCCCAGTTAAGGGGATGGGAGGACTTTATAGGTCCTGTTTCAAAATATGTCTGTGAGAACAGTGTTGAGTCATTGTTGCTACAGGAACCCTATCTGAACCAAGAGGTTGCTAAGGTCTGGGGAAGGTTGAGCTACATATAACTTATGTGATGAACTCCACAAATGTCTATGCAACGGAATTTAACAGATGGTGAAAAGCATAAAGATTTTTGTTGCATGTACAGCTATGGAGCAGAATTTCTATACATTAAAAAGTGCTTCTATCACAATAATAAACATTACTCAGTGGCAATCCTAGGCATCATGTAGCTCAATGATTTTCAAAGGTTTTAAAGAAGCCGAACATTATAAAATTATTGTTTAGACTTTTATTTTAATTAGATAATATTTGCACATGGTGAAAATTTAACATGTACAAAAGCACATAGGAAAACTAGGTCTCCCTCTACTCGTTGACCCCGTCCACCCAAAGCCTCTACCCACAGGAAACTATTGTTACTCCTTTCTTTTGTATCCTTTCAGAGATGTTTTATGCATATCCAAGCACATTCTCACACACACACTTTTGTAAGCAGTAGTACAATAACCTTCTGAACTTTGCTTTTTCACTATGTACCATGGAGATCGTTCCAGAACAGTGCAAGTAGAGCCACCTTGTTCTTTTTTACTGCTCCATAGATTTCCATTTCAGGTCTGTGCACAATACATTTATTCTCTAATCTATCATTAGATTCCTTTTGTTTGCTTCCAATTTCATATCTATGGAATATGCATATCCTTGTACATATGATGTAATACTACAAATGAGCAAGTTAGCTAAGGAATACATTCTAAGATATGGAATTACTTGTCAACATTGCTCATTGAAAATTTTGATACATGTTGCCAAATTGCTCTCCACAGATGTTCCATAAGTTTCTACTGCCATCAGCAATGTATGAAAGTGCCTAATTCCTCCTACCCCCCACATCACTCAGTATCTTATCAAACTTTTTGATCTTTTCTGATTGGGTGAGTACTTAATGTATATTTGAAAAATATGCATAAGGTTGACATATATTTAAAAGTTATTTATATGTCCTTTGTTCATAGCCTTTGCTCATTTTTGCTCTTTTTTTCTTTTCTTTTTTTTTTTTTTATTATACTTTAAGTTCTAGGGTACATGTGCATAACGTGCAGGTTTGTTACATATGTATACTTGTGCCATGTTGGTGTGCTGCACCCATCAACTCGTCAGCACCCATCAGCTCGTCATTTACATCAGGTATAACTCCCAATGCAATCCCTCCTCCCTCCCCCCTCCGTGCTCTTTTTTTTCTTACTGATTTTTTTTTTTTTTTTGAGACGGAGTCTCACTCTGTCGCCCAGGCTGAAGTGCAGTGGCACGATCTCGGCTCACTGCCAGCTCCGTCTCCCAGGTTCATGCCATTCTCCTGCCTCAGCCTCCCGAGTAGCTGGGACTATAGGCGCCCGCCACCATGCCCGGCTAATTTTTGTATTTTTTTTTAGTGGAGATGGGGTTTCACCGTGTTAGCCAGGATAGTCTCGATCTCCTGACCTTGTGATCTGCCTGCCTTGGCCTCCCAAAGTGCTGGGATTACAGGTGTGAATCGCCGCACCCAGCCTTTTTCTTACTTATTTGTGAGTTTTTTACGTGTTAAGAAAAATATCCTTGTCTGTAATCTGAGTC